AAACTTTCATCATTTTAAGGAAGGTTCTGCCTTGTGTTAATGAGCTGCACTGTCAATATGAAGTTACGCAGTTCAAGACCACCAAATGCTTCATGGGAGAAAGATGGACAATCATCTCCCACGCAATTTACTGCGCCTGAAAACTCACTGGGGTGTCAACTATGAGTCAGTTCTGACTAGACAGCGCACACCATCACCACTGTGAGGTAAAAGAAATTAAACAAAAATTCTCTACCTTGATAATTCTCTGCCTTGATAAAATCAAAAACAAATTATTATCTCCAATCTAATTTTTTCATATGTCATTAAAGACAGCAACATTACCAACAAAAATTCACCAATGATTACACTGAGTATTGAGTTTAGGAGTGATTGATATTTTTTCTTTTTAATTTTAAAAGTAAATACTTATTAATAAAATTGCATAAGCTTATAAAAATAACAGTAGCCATTTGGCTGATAATTTAACCTCATAATTTACATTAACAATATAAAACTATACAGTATACTGGTTAGTTTTCCAAGGCATATATTTTAACTTATAATGGCCAGGACGTACAAAGTCACAAGTAATAAAAAGCACATCCTTTGACAATTCAATTGCAAAATCAAATCAAAGTATAGATACACAAAGTAATAAACCCAGAATCTGGTTAAACTTATTAACTCCTCAAAGAATGTTAGTGTTATACACTGGATATTTTAAAACTGCATTTCTTCTGAAATTCTTCAAAAAAACCTAAACCAAAACTACTCTTAAGCTAATTTCAACTCATAGTAAATCTATTGACTCAGTAGAAATGCTTTTACAGGGTTTCCAAGGCTGTATATCTTCATGGGAGGAGACTGCCACACCTTTCTCCCTTAGAGTTACTAGTGACTTTCAGTTAGCAGTCAGGCACTTTAATTACTGAGCTATCAAGGCTCTAAATTTACCCTACTATCATCCTAAACTATAATCCAAAGTGCAATTAGCTCTAATTACTGCAAAGAAGTCAAAGGTCTGAAATTAAATTTCATTTACCTGGTACAGGCTGTGCTCCTATTTTTTGAGATGTTTTTAGACAAAATTCTTCAGCAATAAGCTTAGAATAAAGAAAGAAAAAGAAGTCACAAAAGTGTTACACTTCCAAAATAAGTATTTTCTTATTATCAAAGTATATCTTTTCTCTTTTCAGTTATACTGACCAATCTAAACAAAAAACTCACTCTCAAAACAAGTCAAATTTTACTCATAGCAGCCCTACAAAATAAAGCATAGACAGTCGTATGGTTTTCAATCTCTGTGTGTGTATATGTGTGCATAAAATTATGTTTGGGTGAGGGTTTATAGAGCAAAATACTTTTCTATTCAACAATTCATACTTTTTTTTTTTTAACTGCAAACGCCACTGTGTAATAACACTTTTCCCACTCCAGGTCTTTACCATTTCACTTCCAGGCTTCTGAGTTTTATCTCAGCAAATTCTGTTCTTTTGTGACTCCAAATGGCTTCTTGTTCTAACAAATGGATACTTCTTTGGTGATGCTGTTCACTTTACAGACCTAGTACTTGGCTGAAAGTTAAGCCATGGGGTGACTTCGGCTCAAGGCTTGAAAGATGTGATCTCAGTAGTCTGCTGTTCAGTGCCTTTCAACTCTTAACAGCTCTATGAACAACAAAAGTGAATCTTGTCCTACCCTGTGCTATCCTTATCGACCCTAACACATCTGAGACCATTGCCACAGTTACTGTATAAATTCAGCTCGCTAATAATCTTCCTCTCTTTTCCTGATCGTCAATCTTTCAAAGCATGATGTCCTGTTCTAAGGAATAGCCTCTCCTAGCAACATGCCCAAAGTATGTGAGATGAAGCTTTACCATCCCTGCTTCTATGGAGAACTCTAGTTGCACTTTCTCTAAAACAGACTATCTTTTTTGGCAGTCCACAGGATATTCAACACTTCAACCTCACAACTCCAAGACGTCAATTCTTCTTTTGTCATCCTTATTCACTGTTGAGCTCTCAGATGCTTCTCAGGTGACTGGAAAGATGACGGCTTGAATCACGCACTCCTTAAACTGACATCTTTGCTTGTCAAGACTTTAAAGAGGTCCCTGACTGCAGACTTTCCCAATGTTCTTTCTCTGTATCTCCTCACTGTTGGTTTCAAAATATTTATTGTGGATCTAAGTAAGAGGAAATGATTGACAATATCAATTTTACCTCTATCTATTATGATGATAACTACTGGTCCAGTTGTTGTTAACTACTGGCCCAGTAGTGAGGATTTTTGTTTTCTTGATGTTGAAATATAACCCATATTGAAAGACTGATCTTCTGCAACAGGTGCCTAAAGTCTTATTCATTTTCAGCAACCAAGGCTATGTTATCTACAGCTGCTGTAAGAGAAATACAAGTAGATGGCTTTGACAAATAGAAAGCTATTTTCACACAGTTTAGGAGGCTAGAAGTCCAAATTCAGGACACCAGCTTCAGGGGAAGGCTCTCTCTTTATGTCAGTTCAGGAGGAAGGTCCTTAATTCCTTCAGTATCTGTAGGTTCAGCATTATGTGGAGACTCTGTGTGTCCTGGTCCTACATACTGCCAGAGTTCTTCTGCAAGAGTTCTTGTGCATTCAAAAGGACCCACTTTCTTTTTTTTTCTTGATGGTACTGAAGTCTTCCTTCGTGGTTTGCTTTCCTCCCCCTTCACTTCATGTAAAACATGTTACAGAGCACACTCAAACAAAACTTTCTTGACAATGGATGGCTTCACCATCCTTGTTTCAAGAGAGCACTCTGGCTACACTTCTATGCCTTGGAAAACATGCAGTCAAAATGCTCCCTGGAAGCAAGACTACTGATGCTTCATCTCACATAGCTTGGGCTTGTTGCTGGGAAAAAC